TTCATACTCGCAGACCGAGTCCCCCCTGCTAACTGTGGATGTTTTTTATTATTTCTGAGACGCCAACAACGACCCTCTTCCTTCTTCCCGCTCAGAGGACAAAACGGGCCCTTGCTGTGCGGATACGACGGATTTTGAAGCCACAGCAGCCGTTTAGAATGACGTCATACAGTCGTCCACTTCCTTGTTTAAGCTTGGTTGCGTTCACATGTCCTGCGGACTGTTCTCGAGTACACATGAAACGTGCCCGAGACCACCTCTTCAAGCAGATTCATGCGCAGCACCCGAGTACAGGATCTTTGTGTTCACACTGATCAAATGAACCGGACTTCCGGGTCAAGTGTACTCGGACCTGGGCTTGGGTCCCTACTGTGAAACCACCCTAAAAAGGCTATCATACACAAGGGGAGGAGCCGGCCGTCGCGTCCACGTAAAAATGGCCGACAACAACTCGAGCTTCTCACTCATTGTAGACAGTCGTGACTCAGAGACACATTTACACAGGACAGACTGGATTTATGATATGTTTTTGTTTGATTACTTTAAATGCAAGTTCACTTATTTAAAACATTATATTACTTCTGTTTGAGTTTTTCTGTTTAATAACTTCACCATAAAAGGAAGTGTAATGCTTATTATTGGTTATCTGTTCATCTGAAACGTCACCTCTGCCCCCCCCCCCACCCCCCCGTGTGCCGTGAGAAGTCTGTTAATAGCAACAAGGTGATGATGAAAGCTTGTGGGCCTTGCGACAAGCTCGATGGAAGGAGAGGCAGTTGCTTGAAAGTTATTTTAACACATTAGTTCAACCTCAAAGAGGAAACTGCAGCGTTTGCCTCACATCAGATCAATGTGAGTTTAAAGTCAGAGCAAACGAGCGCTGACAGAGAATGGACAGAGAATGGCTCGACTGGAACTAATCATTGTTTTTGCTCTTCTGTTTGAAGGTAAAGCTCTTTTCTTTTTAAATACATGTTGTACTTTGACTTATCGTGATATTTTCATGACTACAAGAAACATTATTATCATGCCTCTTTTTTAAGATCTATTTTTGTTCTCTTACGCCTCCACGACCTAACCGCTAGGCAAACGGCACCCCTTAAGCCTCTTTTAGGACTTTAAAAGTTCATCAAAAGTTTTGTCAGAAGGGTAGAATTCCTTTTTTTGGAGAGATTCTTACATGTAATCAGAGGTCAGCAGATGTACTTAAGGAAATATAAATAATATGTGTACTCTCCATTACTCCTGTGGTTTATAAAGTCTCCTGAGTCTAGATATTTTGATAAGTATTCATGTTTTTTCGTAGCTATTAAGGATCAGAAGGATCTGGTTACTGTAAAACTGGTGATTATCTTTGAAATCAGTTTTAGAAATGTAAAAAATTAAGTGTGACAAATGATAAAACATTTTATTTAAATGCCTTACCATCGCTTACACGTAACAAACATAGTTAATACTTCTGCTCTTACAGATTACGGTTTTTATGTTGAAATGTTGAAATGTTTGCGCTCTCAGCAAAGATCTGTGGCACGCTGCACTGATACTGCTGAGAGCTAAGAACAGAAACAATACCGCCAAATACAACTGTAACCATAAGTACAATAAATGGTGAAATCTATGATGAGAGTATTCCTGACTGAAATGTCTTAGTGGTACCGGACCTTCATCAGGAAAACAGTTCTTCTAACATCTTAAACAGGAGGTGGCTACAAGCCTGCAACCAATCATCATCATGACGTCAGCTCTGAATCCACAAATCAACAAACAAATAAACATCTGCTTCCTGGTTGAGAGCACACACATCAAAACAACAACTATTAAGAGGCAATTCTAAACAACATATCGATTCATAATTTGAAGTTCAGGGGAAACTAAAGGTCCCAAAAGGTATATATATATAGCGGCACATGGGGGGGGGTGATTTTTTTTACAACTCATCCCTTTTGATTTCATAAACGATACGTGTTATCCATAGTGAGGCATGCAGCTGACATGATTGACAGTTGGGGGCGATGAGATGAGATGAGATGAGATTCAACTTTATTGTCATTACACATATACAGGTATAGAGTAACGAAATGAGGTTTGGCATCTCACCAGAAGTGCAAATAAGCAGAAAGTGCAAGAGTCTGTGCTATGTACAGTAATTACAAAATTTACAGATGTAGACAAAAAAATTGAATTATTTGGTATATATGGATGGCTGGATTAATGGGATGCTATAAATATAAATAAATGCTATAAATATAAGTGTATTTTTAGGATTATAATATACAGATTAAGGTGCAGTGAGCATGCTATACTAGTTTACAGATAATATAAAGAATATGGACATATTGTACAGGTCGATAACTTATTGAGATGATATGAACAAACTATAATACAATAATACAGGTGGATGAGAGATGTGTGTGTGTGACCAGGAGGAGTGGTGGGGGGATGATGGGTGTGAGGTGATATGCAGGGGAAAGGGGGGTCAGCAGGGGGAGGAGAGAGAGAGGGAGAGAGAGAGAGACAGAGTTCAGAGTTCGGGGGGTAGAGTTCAGTAGAGAGACAGCTCTGGGGAAAAAGCTGTTCCTCAGTCTGCTGGTTCTGGTCCGGAGGCTTCTGAAGCGCCTACCGGAGGGCAGGAGGGTAAACAGTCTGTGGGCAGGGTGGGAGGAGTCTTTAAGGATGCCGTGAGCTCGCCGCAGACAGCATATAAACATGATAATAAAACATTTATGTAAGCAGTGTGCAGATCGATGTCAGAGGAGGAGGATAAGTGGAAGTGACACAGCTGATGTTGGTGTCACATGGTTATTTATGGTCTTATGGTCCTTTAAATAAAGAGAAACCTTAGATGAATTCTACATCTCCAGAGAGATATTTTGATTTTCACCTAATTCTTACAGTTCTCCTTTTTGTTTTCCAGTGAGGTCTGACAATCAAGAAGAGCTCTATCGCTTCTACCACCCTGATCAAGATGTCACTCTGCCCTGTGGCATTCAAAATCAACCTCCACTGTGCTCCAGGATGTCATGGCTTTATAACGGAGATTCTTTAGGGACAGTTTTAGTGGCGAAGAGTGAAAATATTGAGAAGACGTCACTCCGAGCTGACAGGCTGAGTTTGGACTCAAACTGCTCTTTGGTCATTAAACACATCACTGCTGAGGATGTTGGTCTCTACACGTGTCGACTGGAGCAGCAGTTAGAGTTTGATGTCAATGTGTATCTAAGTCTTCTGACAGGTAGGTCTTATTTCTATGATTATCCAGATAATTTTGGCACGTTGTTTGTCTGGATGAATTATTGCATTTTGTTGCTCAACCTACGAACACATCAGCTTTTGTTTAACTGTGCTTTATCCTCTGAGGCTTACAGACTGTGTTGGTGTAGCCAGTTGATATCTGGATAAACTATTTTAAAAACCTGGATTTTAACTTCTCCTTTCTTATGGTAATCACTTTTTTAGAGTCCCACAAGCATTTGGAAAATTGAAAATGGAGTTGCAATTGAGCTTAATCTCTTAATGTATTATTTGTCTTTACATAAGAATGTAGAATCTGTACACAGGGGGTCCGGGTTTTCAGCATGGAAAGTGTTCTGGTTTCAGTTTGTAATACATTTGTACTCCATGCTGTGTTAAGTCTATTTTGTTTAAATAGGTTAGACAGAAAAGGAAGAATACAGTTAGAACAAACAGAGGGTCTAGATTGTGGTTTTTGACAAGGTACTGAAGATGGCATGACTAAAGATGAACAGACACATATCAAGGTGTTTTAAGGAAAGTTCTGACTTTTCAGTGGATGTCAAATATTTCTTTAACTGAGTTATTTTTGTCTTTCAGTCTCTCAGCTTCCAGCAGACTCTGATCAAACGAGGAACAGTGAAGTCACATTAGAGTGCTCTCTGTTGACATACAACGATGGTCGCCCTTGTCAACCAAACGGCCTCCGCTGGTTGGACGAGACAGGAACTGAGGTTACTGAAGGTGTCCAAAAGCTTTCCAGAGGTACAGACTGCGTCTCTCATCTGAAGGTGAAGAATCAGAGTGGAGACAACAGGAAATTCACCTGCCAGTTTGTTCAGAGGAATAAAGTGGAGATACAGGCTGACTACCCACCTGACCTCACAGGTAGGACCATGTAGGATCAGTGAGTCCATAAAGACCAAAAAGAAAATCCAAATATGACCCAAAACATGTTCAATATTCTGTAAATGGATTGTAATCAAGTAGTCTTATGTCCTTGATAATGTATTTTGAGAAAACAAGTGGATGTATATGTTGTAATTAAACTCAATCCTCTGATCACTGATCCTGATCCTGATCCTGGTTCTAATCCTGATCCTGGTTCTAGATCCTGTCCTGATCCTGGTTCTAATCCTGATCCTGGTTCTAATCCTGGTCCACCAACTAAAGGTTACTAACTTACTATATTCAAGTCATAAGAAAAAAAACCTACTCTCTTTCCAGGAGGCATCACTCAAGCGAAAAGTCTTCTCTACACCAAACAGGGACATGACATCATTATGTCTTGTCATACACCACAGTTAAAGGCATTTCAGAAAGGACACGGTGTGCGCTGTGTTTACTGCAGAGTAGAAGGTGAGTGTACACGATCAAAAAGCAACAGCGCCCGTTAATAGGTGACCAAAAACAATTGTTGGGAAAATAGCTACAGGACTCTGTTACACTAGTCCAGACGGGAGGTTATGAAGGTGTGGGTGAGGGTTTTCTGCCATGGAGTCAGAGAGTGATGGCCGGAGTCCAGATACATTGTTTAGATGGAAGAAACAGATTTAGTGACAGATTTGATGTGGGAGTGGAATAAGAGGGTTGAGGCCAGGATGACGCCCAGGCTGGGACCTCAGAGGATGGGTAGATGGAGCCCCCGTTAGATTCCAGTAAGATGTCACCAACCTCCCTGAGCAGCGCCTCTGGGACCAAAACCATGAGCTCAGCTTTATTCTTATTGAGTTTGAGGAAATTGGTTCCCATCCAGGTTTGGATGGACCAGGGAGTGGGGGTGAGTTTGGTGCTGAAGTAGAGCTGTCTGTCATCGGCGTAGGAGTGGATACTTTTGCCTTTTTAAAACTCCCTGACAGCTAAAATTGACGAGCGACTTTAGAGAGGTAGAGGAAGAATGATGAGAGGAAACAAAGACAAAGTTGTTGTAGCTTTAAAGATTTTTTTTTAACAGCTGTATTGATATTTTTTTTTTTTCCTTATAAGCCTCACTCTGGTCTTCTCTGAGCTACATCATGCTGGCTCTGCGTTTTTCAGCTCTCATCTTAATGATCGTGACCACAGCTTTGGTCTTCAGCCTCAAAGGTGAGGAAACAAACGGCATGAATTTGATACGACTGGATAATATGAATAATTCATAGAACATTAATACTGCTTTTTTAAAACTTTATTTCCAGGCTACATCAAATCACTGCACAAAGGAAACAATGTGAGTTTAAAACTAACTTGAATGATTTGAAAAATGTAATGTAAGGATTCCTTTGACTTTGATGATACCTGTGAGACCATAGGGCGGTGCTGCAGTTTGCTCTGTTGACACATTTTTCTCAGACTCTCACTTGTTGTGTTTTATTTCACAGGTGCATGAGGAAGATGATGAGGATGTCATCGAACTCACCTATGAAAATGTAGAAGCACGCCCTCCTGCTGCTGAAGTGCACTGATCAACAACTTCTGGATCAACTTTAACTCACAAGAACGTTGAGCGTCATCGGAGTCATTCTTCTGATCGATCCAAGCTTTGAGTTAAAATGACATGAATGTGATTTTAGTGGCTATTTGTCCAAGAAATGTTAATAACGTTTAAATCAAACATGATCAGACGGTCACTGAGGCACAGCAGGGATGTGCTGTACGCAGACAAAATAAGTCTTTTGTCCATGCAAGGGATCAACATTTTTACATAATTTTATCCAAAATCAAGCAAGCAAACAAAAAAAGAAAATCATGGCTCCTGCTGCTTTAAACCATGGGCCCACCCAGGTGCATGCTGGTCCTCTAGAGCTGCAAATCTACCTACAGTATATAACCTCAGGTGCCTACAGTGTTACCCGATCACCAAGCAAAACAAAATATAGAAATGATGCAACAACAAAACATACTACACAAATAGCAGGCAAAAGTACAGAAGGGTTAACATGTCTGGTTTTCTCTTGATATGAGTGAATTACAGTCGTTTTCTTGAGGTCTTGACAAATTAACTCCATATCACAGAGTTGCTATTTAGAGATATCGACATAAATAAGACGAAAATCGTGGAAAATTATTGGAAATATCGAATCATCAGGAAAACAGAGTCAAAAAATAAATATGTATCTGTCCACTTCCGTACATAAGACAATATGATCAAAAATCTCATCTTAATCAAGCTCAAGTTTAGGATTTTCAAATAAATATTATTGGTAAATTAATAAATACTCAACTAGATAAAAATCTCCTGTAGGGATGATTATTTGATTATTTTATGTTTAAGATATAATATTATATAATGAAACTAATGATGTTTTTTCACCATCCAGTAGTTTGGAATATGTGTTTGGAGAATATCAAAATGATGAAGACAATCTGACTGTATATAATATATTACCATATTTTAGAAAACTAACATCACTCCCAATGTCTTAAAACTAGAAAAGGTTTACTTCACAATTAACATCGACTGAATCTAAGGAAATAACCTGTTGGCTAGTTAACCAGCCTGTTAGCTAAGCTAGCAAGCTGTCATACTGTCTCTCCGAAGTCCACCTCAAAAGTTATATTTTTATAAATGTGTTTGAAGCAAATTGTGGCGTTTATTGTTGTTGTTTTTTATTATTATTATTTCGTGTTCAGGGGAAACTTACATTTAAATAAAGTAGTATGATAAATGGTCAGTTACAAAGAAAACAGTTAAGAAAAAGAAACGAGTAAGGGTAGTCAAATATGGTGGTTAATCATATCCTGGAAAAAGAAGGTATAAGGCTGATATGCAGTCATAGAGCAGTTAATATCTGCACAATTCATATAACGTGACGATCAAGTTTATACATATACAAAAGTTGTAGCTTATAGTGCAACAAAGCCAGAGTATAGGCGCTTGCTGTTTGTCTGTATGTAAACAATGTTTTTGTCAAAAGCGGCCTTAAAATCCTTCAATAAACTCAACATTTATGAACAATTTCTGTTTGTGTGAGAGCTCTTTCAAACATAACATGGAACAAAGTTAACAGAACTTCCATCAGATACGTGTGCATTTTGTTTCAATTACGGCTCTGGGCTCCCTCGTCCATCGACGAGCTGCGTTCTCAGAGCGCAGCAAGTAGCAGCGACGCCGGACGGCTGGAGTCCCAAGAACAAGGAGTTCCTGCAGTAATTACAGATTCCCTCGTAACGCCGCGAGATAATAAAATGTATGTGATATAAAACCGTATAAAACCCTCATAAACACAACAACAAACCATGCAACAAACACACATTTGGTCTTTGCTCCCAACCATCAAAATGGAGTGTTTGATTCTGAAAATAAACTGGGTGTTTTAACTTCCCGTTCGATCTCTTCTGTGGTAAATTGATGCACCGTGCACCGGTATCCGGCAAAAATAGAAGCCTTGCATAACTGCTGTAGTTCATCCACAAAACACTCATCTGGTGGAATTAGGCAGTAAGTCATAAACAACAAAACAGGACACATTACCTGATCCCTATCTAAAGAGGTTTGCCCACCCCTCCAGTCACACTCGTACTTTCAAAGGCTGAGGCCGGCTGTGTTGTGGTTGTCACTTTGTTCGCTCGTTTTTAAACATCACTCTGATGAATAGCACACACTCACTCTCGTTTGCACACTGGATACCTGATGTTCTCTAATTATTGAAACTAGAGAAACAAAGTATTCCCTGACACATTCTACACAAGCTTTTCATAAAATACAGAACTTCTTCTTAAGTTTTTAAATACTGTCACATCGTTAAAGATAGAGTCAGTCTGGATTTTGATGCTTTCTTTTGACACGGAGAGTTTCTGGGCGGGGAGCTGATGTGTTTCCTAATGCGCAAGTGAGTTTAGGAGTGGATTCAATTCAGTGCTTGGACACGATTCAAACTGAATATGACGGACGTGGACCGAGCTCATTTAGAAATGAGGGTGAATCTTGTGTTAGCCTTCACCCGAAGACGTGGAGTTGGTCTGCTTTCTGTTGGACGAGCGGATCCCAAACACTGGTGGTTAGCTTGAGCTAGCATGCGGTGCGGTAGCTTGCATTGTAGCTACAAGCAGTACAAGTACACACCACGTCCTGCAGTGAGTGTGCGCTTCTGGGAGCGATGAGCCCAGGAGGAGGGGCCCCGTTTTGAATGTTGTGTTTACAGGCTGCAATGAGAAATGCTAGTTACTCCACCTTTAATATTACGCCCACAAAACTTTCTATCTGATGATGACATCAACAGAACAGACTGTTGAACTGTTGAAGACAGTAAAATAAAAGAAAAAGACAACAGTGCTTCCACTTGAGACAACAAGAAAAACTCCACTGCGGTACCAAAGGAAAGTGAAGCCATGAACTCAAACAACGTTCCATCAAGTCCATACTGATGGTATATAACTCTGAAGAGATTTGACGTCAACATTTACATCTTTAGTTTAGAGAAAAGACATACAAACCAGAAAACCTTTTAGGAAAACATATTTTTTTACTTTGGTTATAAAACATGTGAGAAACAAGGTCATTTTCTCAGAGACATCTATGCAATCAACTTAGTTTCAGCAGCCAGTGGAGAAGCCCCCTACTGGCCATTAGAGAGACTAAAGCACTGGCTAAAAAGAGGTAACATATATTGTTATTGTCTATGGGATGGGCTCTGGAGACTAGTGATTACGTCTCTCTCACACTGCTTAGTGTTTATCAAAAAGAATGATTTCATCACCTCTCTCAGCTGTAGTTCATGTTTCCAGTTAATATTTGCCCACAGGTCGAGCATGCTTCTTACCAAACGTGCCACTTCCTCTTTTGATTACACCCACATTAACCTCCCATTAACCCACAGCTCTGCTGTAGCCACTGAACAGGAGCTACACCAGAAACAACAACATTTTCATTACCCTATGCTGTGAGATAAATAGTCCTCTCTGGGGTGTATTCATTATCTGTGCTGTATTTCTTTAGGCCAGCAGCCAGACAGGGCTACAGGTGGAAGGAAAGGGGGACTTACCTAAAAACCTTGATAGTATAATCATCAGTCATATTATACTCTGATACAGGATTTAATGCAGAAAACTTTGCAAACTAAAGGCTGAAAATGTTCAGAGCAGTTCTTCAATCATCCAAAATAACACTTTGGATGATACAAAAATGCTCAACTATCCACTTACAGCTTAATGAAATATATATTTAGCAAGGATAAAATAAAAGTATAAACAGAGACCCTGATGTTTATGTTTAAAGATAAAATATTCCCGTCTTGGATCATCTGTTAAAGGAAGAATGTGAGACTTTTTGCTCCAGTAGATGTCGCCCTTGAGCACCAGCATGAAACCAAAACAAACTGCTGTTTGGCCACGCCTCCTCCATCCTGAAGCCTCCACTCTCCTCCAGTGACACACCTCCAACCCCCCTCCACCCGCGTTTAGCGCAGGCGGCGGACAAAATTGTCTTTGGCTCGAGCTGCAATTGCCTGTGTCCTGCATTGTTGTGTTAGCATGCTAATGTTAGCGCTCTTTAGTTAGCTCGTAGCTTCACGTTGCATGTGAATGGACACAGAATGAGCGTTATCTAAAAACGCTGACTTGACAATTAAAATAAGCAGTGAGTATATTCTTCTTTTCTCCAGTCCTTGACTAAGGGTGTTTTCACATTTGGTATGATTGTTTCATACTCGCAGACCGAGTCTCCCCTGCTAACTGTGGATTTTTTTTATTATTTCTGAGACGCCAACAACGACCCTCTTCCTTCTTCCCGCTCAGAGGACAAAACGGGCCCTTGCTGTGCGGATACGACGGATTTTGAAGCCACAGCAGCCATTTAGAATGACGTCATACAGTCGTCCACTTCCTTGTTTAAGCTGGGTTGCGTTCACATGTCCTGCGGACTGTTCTCGAGTACACATGAAACGTGCCCGAGACCACCTCTTCAAGCAGATTCATGCGCAGCACCCGAGTACAGGATCTTTGTGTTCACACTGATCAAATGAACTGGACTTCCGGGTCAAGTGTACTCGGACCTGGGCTTGGGTCCCTACTGTGAAACCACCCTAACAAGGCTATCATACACAAGGGGAGGAGCCGGCCGTCGCGTCCACGTAAAAATGGCCGACAACAACTCGAGCTTCTCACTCATTGTAGACAGTCATGACTCAGAGAGACATTTACACAGGACAGACTGGATTTATGATATGTTTTTGTTTGATTACTTTAAATGCAAGTTCACTTATTTAAAACATTATATTACTTTGAGTTTTTCTGTTTAACAACTTCACCATAAAAGGAAGTGTAATGCTTATTATTGGTTATCTGTTCATCTGAAACGTCACCTCTGCCCCCCCCACCCCCCCCCCCCCCCTGCGTGCTGTGAGAAGTCTGTTAAGAGGAACAAGTTGATGATGAAAGCTTGTGGCAACATGCTCGATGGAAGGAGAGGCAGTTGCTTGAAAGTTATTTTAACACATTAGTTCAACCTCAAAGAGGAAACTGCAGCGTTTGCCTCACATCAGATCAATGTGAGTTTAAAGTCAGAGCAAACGAGCGCTGACAGAGAATGGCTCGACTGGAACTAATCATTGTTTTTGCTCTTCTGTTTGAAGGTAAAGCTCTTTTCTTTTTAAATACATGTTGTACTTTGACTTATCGTGATATTTTCATGACTACAAGAAACATTATTATCATGCCTCTTTTTTAAGATCTATTTTTGCCTCCACGACCTAACCGCTAGGCAAACGGCACCCCTTAAGCCTCTTTTAGGACTTTAAAAGTTCATCAAAAGTTTTGTCAGAAGGGTAGAATTCCTTTTTTTGGAGAGATTCTTACATGTAATCAGAGGTCAGCAGATGTACTTAAGGAAATATAAATAATATGTGTACTCTCCATTACTCCTGTGGTTCATAAAGTCTCCTGAGTCTAGATATTTTGATAAGTATTCATGTTTTTCGTAGCTATTAAGGATCAGAAGGATCTGGTTACTGTAAAACTGGTGATTATCTTTGAAATCAGTTTTAGAAATTTAAAAAATTAAGTGTGACAAATGCTAAAACATTTTATTTAAATGCCTTACCATCGCTTACATGTAACAAACATAGTTAATACTTCTGCTCTTACAGATTACGGTTTTTATGTTGAAATGTTTGCGCTCTCAGCAAAGATCTGTGGCACGCTGCACTGATACTGCTGAGAGCTAAGAACAGAAACAATACCGCCAAATACAACTGTAACCATAAGTACAATAAATGGTGAAATCTATGATGAGAGTATTCCTGACTGAAATGTCTTAGTGGTACCGGACCTTCATCAGGAAAACAGTTCTTCTAACATCTTAAACAGGAGGTGGCTACAAGCCTGCAACCAATCATCATCATGACGTCAGCTCTGAATCCACAAATCAACAAACAAATAAACATCTACTTCCTGGTTGAGAGCACACACATCAAAACAACAACTATTAAGAGGCAATTCTAAACAACATATCGATTCATAATTTGAAGTTCAGGGGAAACTAAAGGTCCCAAAAGGTATATATATATAGCGGCACATGGGGGGTGATTTCTTTTACAACTCATCCGTTTTGATTTCATAAACGATACGTGTTATCCATAGTGAGGCACGCAGCTGACATGATTGACAGTTGGGGGCGATGTAACGGTTTGTTAAAACCTGCCTGAGCTCCAGCTCTCAGCCTGTCTTTAGGTTGACTGAAAGTTAGACTGAGACAGGATGGACCGATGAGCCTCTGGTGCCCCCTGCAGGAACCGATGGGTGACATCACTCAGGCTTCAAACATTAATATTTACAGTCCATGGTGACGTCATTTGAAAGCTAAAAATAACCAACACACTAATAAATACAAGCCTACATAAGACAATAGTGGAGATGAGGAGTGCAAAGGGTGCTGATATAAACATGATGATAAAACATTTATGTAAGCAGTGTGCAGATTGATGTCAGAGGAGGAGGATAAGTGGAAGTGACACAGCTGATGTTGGTGTCACATGGTTATTTATGGTCTTATGGTCCTTTTTTAAAACAAAATAAAAACAAAACCTTATCATTTCTCTCCAGAGAGATATTTTAATGTTCATCTAATTCTTACAGTTCTCCTTTTTGTTTTCTAGTGGGCAACAGTCAAGAAGTGCTCTATCGCTTCTACCACCCTGATCAAGATGTCACTCTGCCCTGTGGCATTCAAAATCAACCTCCACAGTGCTCCAGGATGTCATGGCTTTATAGCAGAGATCCATCACAGACTTTAACTGAGGCAAGCAGAGGAAAGATTAAGGAGAAGTCACTCCGAGCTGACAGGCTGAGTTTAGACTCAGACTGCTCTTTGGTCATTAAACACATCACTGCTGAGGATGTTGGTTTCTACACGTGTCGACTGGAGCAGCAGTTAGAGTTTGATGTCAATGTGTATCTAAGTCTTCTGACAGGTACGTCTTATTTCTATGATTATCCAGATAATTTTGGCACGTTGTTTGTCTGGATGAATTATTGCATTTTGCTCAACCTACGAACACATCAGCTTTTGTTTAACTGTGCTTTATCCTCTGAGGCTTACAGACTGTGTTGGTGTAGCCAGTTGATATCTGGATAAACTATTTTAAAAACCTGGATTTTAACTTCTCCTTTCTTATGGTAATCACTTTTTTAGAGTCCCACAAGCATTTGGAAAATTGAAAATGGAGTTGCAATTGAGCTTAATCTCTTAATGTATTATTTGTCTTTACAAAAGAATGTAGAATCTCGGGGCGCTGGTCCCGCATGTCATTCCCTACTCTCTCTCTTCCTGATTTCTGAATCTATCCACTGTCCTGTCTCTCCATTAGAAGCACAAAAAGCCCAAAAATAAATGTAAAAAAAAAGAAAAAAAAGAATGTAGAATCTGAACACAGGGGGTCCGGGTTTTCAGCATGGAAAGTGTTCTGGTTTCCATTTGTAATACATTTGTACTCAGGGTACTCATGTAACCCATACTGAGTTAATTCTAGTTTCTTTAAAAGTTTAGACAGAAAAGGAAGAATACAGTTAGAACAAACAGAGGGTCTAGATTGTGGTTTTTGACAAGGTACTGAAGATGGCATGACTAAAGATGAACAGACACATATCAAGGTGTTTTAAGGAAAGTTCTGACTTTTCAGTGGATATCAAAAACATTTAACTGAGTTATTTTTGTCTTTCAGTCTCTCAGCTTCCAGCAGACTCTGATCAAACGAGGAACAGTGAAGTCACATTAGAGTGCTCTCTGTTGAGATACAACGATGGTCGCCTTTGTCAACCAAACGGCCTCCGCTGGTTGGACGAGACAGGAACTGAGGTTACTGAAGGTGTCCAAAAGTTTTCCAGAGGTACAGACTGCGTCTCTCATCTGAAGGTGAAGAATCAGAGTGGAGACAACAGGAAATTCACCTGCCAGTTTGTTCAGATGAATAAAGTGGAGATACAGGCTGACTACCCACCTGACCTCACAGGTAGGACCATGTAGGATCAGTGAGTCCATAAAGACCAAAAAGAAAATCCAAATATGACCCAAAACATGTTCAATTTTCTGTGATTAGTTTGTATCAAGTAGTCTTATGTCCTTGATAATGTATTTTGAGAAAACAAGTGGATGTATACGTTGTAATTAAACTCAATCCTCTGATCATAGATCCTGATCCTGGTTCTAATCCTGATCCTGGTTCTAATCCTGATCCTGGTTCTAATCCTGGCTTGGACTTTGATGCCAAACAAACCTTCATCATCGTCGGTGTGTTGGTCGGGGTGATGTTTCTGCTGGTTGTCATGGCTGCTGTTCTAATCAAATACAAGAAGAGAGCCAAAGTAACTGAAGGTCAGTGATACTGTAGCTGTTTTTTTAAGCACTGTGATTCATGTGAGGTTCAGGTATGAATGTAATCCGATTTTATGTGCTTTATGCTATATTATGCTTTGCTATATGTTGTACTAATAGAAAAGTCAGCATACGCATGGCCTTCAAAGTATGTATCATCTGGGTAGAGCAGCAGCATATAGATCAGCAAAGAATGCATTCCACATAGTCCAGCTTAACTAGACTCGCAGCGTATTTTAAACCTAGCAGAGCGTAGTGGCGCTGGTGGCACGCTCAAGAGACGGACCGTGGCTCTTGCTGCAAAATAGGGGCATTGACTAGAGTGGCAGCGCTGACGTGCATGGCGCTGACAGGCCGCTGCGCGCACGTAGTCTGAGGAATTTGGGGGTGCCCCTGGAAATGCCCCTTATATACAGGACGTTTTATGTGTTTTGACATGAAAAGGTCTCTTTACAACTGTTTTCTTTTCGTCTTTTTGTTTTCATGCACATGAAGTTTTACTCCTGTCGGCGTTTGCTCCTTTTTTGCTGTTTTGGATATAAGCTAAGTTAAATCCTGGTTGTATATATTCCCATTCTTAGTTTTAATATTTTTAGTGATTATTTACTTTGTATTTAATATTATATTGTGTTTAAATTTTCTAATATTGTGTTTTTTGCTAATATTGTGTGTTTGGATAACCTGCTGCTGTAACACCACAATTTCCCAGTTTGGGATCAATAAAGTAATTCTATTCTATTCTATTCTATTGTGCAAATGCTATGCTAAGCTAAGCTATAATCAGTTATGATATGACCTGCTATCATATGCTTTGCTATGCGGTGGTAAGATAAGCTAGACTGTTCTGTGCTATGATACAAAGTCGAGGCTATATGGTATGATTTTCTATGCTGTGCTGTTTTCTGTGCTAGGCTGCGTTGTGTTATATAATGGTATGATATGCTAGTTAATGCTGACATATATGTTTTGCTATGCTATTAAATAACGGATATGCTATGCTATGCTATGCTATGCTATTGTTTGATTTGATTTGTTTATAAAACACTATGATGAGTTCTACTATGTGATAATAGTCCATATGTGCAATGCTACTCAGTGATTTGCTAGGCTATAATTTCCTATATATGCTGGGATATTATTGCTCCGAGTCATGCTACGCTACGCTACACTATGCTATAATTTGTGATGATAAAAAATTATGTGATTAATTCGATCAATAGTGCAGCCTGTACTACAGCACGGCTATGCTTTCTACTATAAAATAAACACTTTGAGCCCAGTCATTAAAATATAAGGTTACCTTTAATTATTCAAATATGACGGGAAGATTGTTTTTCCAGCTTTATGACTAAAATGTCGGTTCAAAGGTTTCTCATATTTGGTTAAAATGACAATCTGTTGTGTTTAGTGTATAATATTTGATGACTATATATTTTTTTTTCAGATGTTCAAACACCAAGCCAACAGCCTGTGAGTATTTTTTTAATTTCAAACAATAACAGAGAAATTGCAACTGAGCTACATGTCCAATACTAAAATACTGTTAAATATAATTCAATGTACTTACACTAAATTGTATACACATACATTGCAAAATTATGTAGCTGATCAAGAAAAAAATCTGCAGAATCTTTTCAGTGTGTTTCATTAATCATGGCATAACATTTGGTGCAGGGAAAGTAACTTATCTAGATTCATTTTCAAACAGCCAATTCTAGTTTTACAAGAATAAAAATTGGTTGAATTTACCAGTGTTTTTATTCAAGCCAGTTAAAGCTTGAATAAGGCAATCTCCCCTCCTGGTTAAAGGTTGAGAAAATCACAGACTGTCTTTACACACTGCTGCCATTGGTGGAGAAAAGATGTATCGCATCTAATGAAGGTCTATTTGTTTCTGCTTTGAGGAGTACCTGTGTCCACTCCACTGACTTTGTTTTTTGTGCTGAGCGGCTCCTATTTCCTCTACAAAACGAATGCAGTTTAGCATTAGCATAATGTCCTAGAGATGCCCTCTTTTTTGGTCACTGCACCCACAGCGCTCTCAGCTGAAAAAAAATAGGTCAACTTTTGGAACAGCGGCGTACTCATCAATGTCATTTCTTCCTAACGCATTCTGTTAACCTTTGTGTTGTTTTCCGTCAGAATGAGCCGGAGAGTGATCTGACCTACGTTACTTTGAGCCACAGTGAACAACAGAAGTCTTTTAGGAAGAAGGTAAGAGACTTGAAATGTTTTAAGTCACAAATCTGACAAATGTTGACATTTTAGATTTAACAAATGTGCATTAGGATGTTATTTTGGAAAATATAACACAAGATAAACAGTTTTTCTTTTATATTCATACAGCTAAAGTAAGCTAGAGTTGGGTTCTGTGATTAATGATTCTGTTATAAGTGTTTTGATAAATGTGGTGGAAGGAGGACGGAAGCCTTTCAGTTCTGAGTTCCTGTTTTTTTTTTTATTACTGTGATTAAGTAAATTTAGACCAAAGACTTACCAGAAAAACAAGAAAAGGCTAACCACAAAATACAGTTATTTAGCTATTTGTGTAGCCGATTGTGAAAATTATTTCTAAATACTCTTCTTTCGTTCCTGTTGAAAAGGAAGAGGAGGTGACCTATTCTGCAGTCAAGTCTTCAGCGAGGAACGAGGCAGATGATGATCACAGCAGTCTGTACAGTACTCTCGCAAACTAAAATAAATCACAGGAAACTCTTCCCACATAGTGTATTCTGTATTTACAGTGTCAAACGGCGCTTTGGTAGGAAATGATATGCAGCCTTTCAGCTGGTTACTATTCGACCTTTCTCTGTTTAACCATGCCATCGAGTTAGCATGCAGCAAAATGGTGGTATGTCAAACTGTGAAAAAATGGACAACTTTACAGCTCTGTATTTTTT